CAAAGTTAACGCTATTTATAAAATGTTAGTAAATATGCATAGATTCATTATTAGCAATCTACATAACAGATTTAGTTTTGCACTAATATGCTTGTTAAATATTTTTGAATATCATCAAGTAATGAGTCCCAATAATTTTTTCCCTCCGTTACCGTAACATCTATGTATTTATATTTGCAAATTATTTTTATTTTCATAAAAGTTCATTTTTTTTTAAAGAAACATTTTCGATTACCATAATTACAGCCTACACGTTAAGTATATTAACCAAGTTTATTGACATTAAAAATTGAATTCATATGACAATATCTACTCCGTTACTGACATTTGTTAACAATTTAATATTTAATAGCAAAATACTCGATACTAAATTTCAGATTCATAGTAAATCTTGGTATACGTAGAAGGTCAGTTTATATATCTATATAAATATCTTAAAAAACAGTTAAATAGACAGAAGCTTTTTTAGATTTTGTATACAAATAGTGTCCGCTCTTTTAATGGAATACCAATCATGCATCATTAATGTAATAAATTTTGTGATCGCTTTCAAAATTATTTGTTTCAATTAACAAGACATTCAAATTTTCATTTAAATTGACCCAGGTCGATAATATTGTTGCTTAAATGTTGAAATTGGTAACCAATGACATCTTTTCTATTGGTCGTCATAGCACTTTCATGACTGTTCAAATCCTGCGGTATTTAAAAAAGATATTTTTCGTATCATTGATATCCTTGAATTTAAATTAATTATTATAGGAACAAATAAATTATCAAAATTATAAGTCCTATATTGTGTGTTGGTCCATCACAAAAAAAATGAAGATCTGTAATTTGAATTCCATTAGCTTGGGTTCCAGAAGTGCCTATATAGACAAAGAATCGTGTCTCAAAGAGTTGGATATAGTTGTAAATGATTGATATCCATAAATTTTATAAATTATTCCTGTTGCTTGTTTGTTACTTGCTCCAAAATTTTGAATTGAAATAAAATTCTAGCACACATAGTTCTCAGAAAAATCTATATGTATAATAATTCACAATAACTGTTTTCTTTTAAATGTTTGTACATTATGAGCTGAGTTTTATTATAAAAAGATAATTACATAGCTCAATTCGAATTGATTTACAAAATTTTACTTTAAGATCTTTAATTGTTCCACACTTTACACATTTCCTTCCCAGTGGGCACGGACGTAAAAAAGACGTCTTTTAAAAGTCTTTTGAACGTTTTGGACGCCTTTTGAACGTTCAAAAGATTATTAGAATAGCAGCTTTCCCTTTTCTTCGTCTTGTCAAATGTATTTTTCTTGGTGCTGCTTTTGGGTAAGGTTGCACAGTATCTGGAGAAAATGCTTTAGGAGTTTCAGGAATAAGTAACATTGTCTCTTTATTAATACTACTTTTGACAGATTGACCTGAAAATGATGTTAAACATACTTCAGAATGAGCTACGTGTGATAGCTCAGAAACAAGATTTGCTGGTTCTATACGATCTGTGACAAATGATGGTAAAAAATTATCATCAGCTAAAATGTTTGCATTGTATATTACGCCAGAAAACCCTTTGTAATGTTAGTACACGTTGAAAACCCTTTGTAATGTTAGTACACGTTATAGCTAATAGCAATGAATCTGATACAATTTTTGGTATATCATAAATTGTTATGGCTTTTCCAGGATTGCTTCTCAGCCATGCACCTTGTGCAACTGATAGGTACTTTTTAAAAGGTCCAAACACTGATACATTAGTGGCTGCAGCTTATAGCTGCAGTGTGGTGGGAAAGACAAAATGACTATTCCATTCTCCTTTGCTAAGTTTGGTGTTTCAAAATGCAAGTGAGAAGAGTGATTGTCCAAAATTAACAGAATTTCATATTCATTTGAAGGCTTCACATGCCTAATCAAATGCTGCATAAAATTTTTGAATTCAATATCTGTAACTCAGCCACTTCCATTACCTACCAATACAGTCCGGTGGACCACTATTAACAAAATAATCTTTGTAATTTTTTCGAGGGAACACAAACATTGGAGGTACTGTATTTCCTGAGGCAGATACAGCGGTTACCATTGTGACATTAGTGCCTCTTTTCCCAGATGTCATAGCACCAACATTTCACTTACCCTTTGCAGCCACAATTTTACTAGGTTTTACAACTGTAGATACACTAGTTTCGTCAACGTTTCATATTTGTGAAGCACTGAATTTGTATATATCCATAACTACACCTAGTTTATCAAAAAATACTTTTACATTTACAGCGTTAATGATGTTGCCTACCAAGGCAACATCATTAAAGCATGAGATTGAACATCTTTAGGAGTATTGCCGTAAAATATAGATTCTATTTGCAAAAAATAATTTTTTAAGGCGCTTTCTTGCTCTTGGGAAAAAATTAATCTAGGTTTTGAATAACCCATGGATAACCACCAGAGTTTAGTTTTAAAATATATCTTGCTAATGTCATTCTCTTGATGTCAAATTCTTTAGCAGCTGCATTAACACTTTTTTCCCCTCCAAAACAGAACTTGATGCATCACTAAGCTGTTGGCTTGTGAAGGCGCCATTTGAAGTTTCTCTTTTATAATTACGCATCCTATAATATATACATATATATATATACATATATATATATATATATATATATATATATATATATATATATATATATATATATATTATATATATATATATATATATATATATATATGTATATATATATATATATATATACATATATATATATATATATATATATATGTGTGTGTGTGTGTGTGTGTGTGTGTGTGTGTGTGTGTGTGTGTGTGTGTGTGTGTGTGTGTATGTGTGTGTGTGTGTGTGTGTGTGTGTGTGTGTAGTAATATTAAATAATATATATAAATTATTTATATATTGTATAAATATGTTTATATAATATAAAATCAATATGTTTATATAATATAAATTATAAGTTATATGTTTTTTAAATATGCACACTACATAATATTATCATAATAAACATAGTAAACAAGATTAATTTAAAAAAAGTATTCAAGAAGTTTTTAACTTAAAGATTTTATTGGCCGTAAATATTATGTAATATTAAAGTAAAAATATTTTAAAAATATTAAAAAATCAAATAATTTCAAATTATAAATACATATTAAAAAAAAAAAAGAGGTTTAAGATAATACCTTATAATTATTATGAGTATTTTATAATGATTAATTTAAAAGTGTGAATGGACCTTAAAATATTCACCAAACGAAATTTTATCTTCGCGTCTGATAAAGCCGTTTTATTAATCGTTGTCAAATCTGCTCAACTTACCCCTACTAGACAAGTCGACACATCAGTTAGGTTATAAAAAGAACTATAAGGATTGGGGAAAAAAGAATAAGTATAATCAATAGCAAAATAAATTGGTAAAATATAAACACTTAAGCGATTCCAGATAAATGTTTTTTTAATCATCTAAGAGAAAAATAGCAAAATTTTTATTTTTTATTTTTTTAGTCCAAAATCGAAAAAGTTTTTTAAATTTTGTTACCATTCTAAATATCTATCTTTTATCCATTAGATGTTTTGCCATGGTATGAGTAGTTTTTAAGATATTTTAGTTGCCCAACTGGCCCCTATGCTTAACTAGCCCCATATCGAAAAAAGATCGGCAAATTTATTTTGTTTTATTTCATATACATTTCTTTAGTTTTCTTTTATAAATTTTTAGGATTCTTTATTTACGATTTATTTTTTAATTATGCTGTTATGCGGTCTTGATTTAGATTTTGGGAGTTTAAATTTTGTTTAAGGTGGTAGACTACTAAAAAAACTTGAAAAAAATTTCAAAAGTTGCAACATTTTAAACAGTAACAATTGTAGAATACATAGATTTGCACACATTTTTTATATTATATTTATTTTTATGATTTTTTTTATGAAACTTTTTTAGACCTGAAACAACTTATTTATTTTAGCAGGGTAGTTTTGCTTCCCATAGAAACGCTCATAACAACGGCTAATAGAGGTTAGAAAACATGGATTGTGCACATCTTATATATTCTAAACACTCAAACCAGTAGTTACTTCTTTGTTTTTAGTTTTTCTATGTTGTAAATAAAATAGTCTTAATGAACAAAATTGTTGATTAGGTTTTTTACTAACACAAATGTAAAGTAGTTGCTATCAAAATGGGTTCTGCAATGTTCTAAAGGCGTTTATGTGGAAGATCAACACTTGAAATTAGTGTTACATCTGCTGTCATACACTTTAATGATGGCGAAACTGGTTTGAAAGATGTTCTGCACAGTTTAGGAATTGATCCAGGACATTTCACTAAGTATGGTTATCAAAAGAGTTATCAAATGACTGATCAACTTTATATCGTCTGCGTATAAAGTTAACGGACAAAAAATCATCTGAAAAATTTAAAAACCAAAGCTTAGAGCAACTAGGAAAGGCTTTGATGATAAATACAACAATGAAGAAGGAACAGTATATGAAAAAGGAAGATTTTAACCTGTTTTAGTATGTCAAAAACTTTGTGTATTCAATATTTAAATTATTATTTACATTTTTCTCTGTTTTATTATTTTCCATTTTCTGTCTATGATTCCAGAAGTTGTGTCCAATTGACTTGAAATTTTGTACATATGTTTGTTATAATTAGCCTAATGTCCTGAGATAAAAAAATTAAGAATGTAAACTTTTAAAAAACTGAATTTTTGGTCCATTATGTCAAAAATTTGACCTTAACTCTTTTCGCACCTATATATAAAATTTGTAAACAGTAAAAACATGCATACTATACTCAAAATTATATTTTAGGGATAAAAGGCATCATAACTATGTATTTTCAAAAAGATAAATAAACAGAGATTGCGTCTCTTTTTTAAAAAAAATGAAATGGTAATGATGGCAAATACAAAGATCACGTGACTTTTGCAAAATTTTTTAAATTTTTTTTTTACAAAAAAAAAAAGTCTGGCCTTGAAAAAAGTTAATATAATACTTATCAAGACTTAAAACTACGAGTGGTACATTCTGTAGTTGTACATTCTGTAGTTGTACATTCTGTAGTTGTACATTCTGTAGTTGTACATTCTGTAGTTGTACATTCTGTAGTTGTACATTCTGTAGTGGTACATTCTGTAGTTGTACATTCTGTAGTTGTACATTCTGTAGTTGTACATTCTGTAGTTGAACATTCTGTAGTTGTACATTCTGTAGTTATACATTCTGTAGTGGGACATTCTGTAGTTGTACATTCTGTAGTTGTACATTCTGTAGTTGTACATTCTGTAGTTGTACATTCTGTAGTTGTACATTCTGTAGTTGTACATTCTGTAGTTGTACATTCTGTAGTGGTACATTCTGTAGTTGTACATTCTGTAGTTGTACATTCTGTAGTGGTACATTCTGTAGTGGTACATTCTGTAGTGGTACATTCTGTAGTGGTACATTCTGTAGTGGTACATTCTGTAGTTGTACATTCTGTAGTTGTACATTCTGTAGTTGTACATTCTGTAGTGGTACATTCTGTAGTGGTACATTCTGTAGTGGTACATTCTGTAGTTGTACATTCTGTAGTTGTACATTCTGTAGTTGTACATTCTGTAGTGGTACATTCTGTAGTGGTACATTCTGTAGTTGAACATTCTGTAGTTGTACATTCTGTAGTTAAACATTCTGTAGTGGTACATTCTGTAGTGGTACATTCTGTAGTTGTACATTCTGTAGTTGTACATTCTGTAGTTGTACATTCTGTAGTTGTACATTCTGTAGTTGTACATTCTGTAGTGGTACATTCTGTAGTTGTACATTCAGTAGTTGTACATTCTGTAGTGGTACATTCTGTAGTGGTACATTCTGTAGTGGGACATTCTGTAGTTGTACATTCTGTAGTTGTACATTCTGTAGTTGTACATTCTGTAGTTGTACATTCTGTAGTGGTACATTCTGTAGTTGTACATTCAGTAGTTGTACATTCTGTAGTGGTACATTCTGTAGTTGTACATTCTGTAGTGGGACATTCTGTAGTTGTACATTCTGTAGTGGTACATTCTGTAGTGGTACATTCTGTAGTGGTACATTCTGTAGTTGTACATTCTGTAGTGGTACATTCTGTAGTGGTACATTCTGTAGTTGTACATTCTGTAGTTGTACATTCTGTAGTGGTACATTCTGTAGTTGTACATTCTGTAGTGGTACATTCTGTAGTTGTACATTCTGTAGTGGTACATTCTGTAGTTGTACATTCTGTAGTTGTACATTCTGTAGTGGTACATTCTGTAGTGGTAAATTCTGTAGTTGTACATTCTGTAGTGGTACATTCTGTAGTGGTACATTCTGTAGTTGTACATTCTGTAGTGGTACATTCTGTAGTTGTACATTCTGTAGTTGTACATTCTGTAGTGGTACATTCTGTAGTGGTAAATTCTGTAGTTGTACATTCTGTAGTGGTACATTCTGTAGTTGTACATTCTGTAGTGGTACATTCTGTAGTTGTACATTCTGTAGTTGTACATTCTGTAGTTGTACATTCTGAAGTGGTACATTCTGTAGTGGTACATTCTGTAGTGGTACATTCTGTAGTTGTATATTCTGTAGTTGTACATTCTGTAGTTGTACATTCTGTAGTGGTACATTCTGTAGTGGTACATTCTGTAGTTGTACATTCTGTAGTGGTACATTCTGTAGTTGTACATTCTGTAGTTGTACATTCTGTAGTTGTACATTCTGTAGTGGTACATTCTGTAGTTGTACATTCTGTAGTGGTTCATTCTGTAGTGGTACATTCTGTAGTTGTACATTCTGTAGTGGTACATTCTGTAGTTGTACATTCTGTAGTTGTACAATCTGTAGTTGTACATTCTGTAGTTGTACATTCTGTAGTTGTACATTCTGTAGTGGTACATTCTGTAGTGGTACATTCTGTAGTTGTACATTCTGTAGTGGTACATTCTGTAGTTGTACATTCTGTAGTTGTACATTCTGTAGTTGTACATTCTGTAGTGGTACATTCTGTAGTGGTACATTCTGTAGTTGTACATTCTGTAGTTGTACATTCTGTAGTTGTACATTCTGTAGTTGTACATTCTGTAGTTGTACATTCTGTAGTTGTACATTCTGTAGTGGTACATTCTGTAGTGGTACTTTCTGTAGTTGTACATTCTGTAGTTGTATATTCTGTAGTTGTACATTCTGTAGTTGTACATTCTGTAGTTGTACATTCTGTAGTGGTACATTCTGTAGTTGTACATTCTGTAGTGGTACATTCTGTAGTGGTACATTCTGTAGTTGTACATTCTGTAGTTGTACATTCTGTAGTTGTACATTCTGTAGTGGTACATTCTGTAGTGGTACATTCTGTAGTGGTACATTCTGTAGTTGTACATTCTGTAGTTGTACATTCTGTAGTTGTACATTCTGTAGTGGTACATTCTGTAGTGGTACATTCTGTAGTGGTACATTCTGTAGTTGTACATTCTGTAGTTGTACATTCTGTAGTTGTACATTCTGTAGTGGTGCATTCTGTAGTGGTACATTCTGTAGTTGTACATTCTGTAGTGGTACATTCTGTAGTTGTACATTCTGTAGTTGTACATTCTGTAGTTGTACATTCTGTAGTGGTACATTCTGTAGTTGTACATTCTGTAGTGGTTCATTCTGTAGTGGTACATTCTGTAGTTGTACATTATGTAGTGGTACATTCTGTAGTTGTACATTCTGTAGTTGTACAATCTGTAGTTGTACATTTTGTAGTTGTACATTCTGTAGTTGTACATTCTGTAGTGGTACATTCTGTAGTTGTACATTCTGTAGTTGTACAATCTGTAGTTGTACATTCTGTAGTTGTACATTCTGTAGTTGTACATTCTGTAGTGGTACATTCTGTAGTGGTACATTCTGTAGTTGTACATTCTGTAGTGGTACATTCTGTAGTTGTACATTCTGTAGTTGTACATTCTGTAGTTGTACATTCTGTAGTTGTACATTCTGTAGTTGTACATTCTGTAGTTGTACATTCTGTAGTGGTACATTCTGTAGTGGTACATTCTGTAGTGGTACATTCTGTAGTTGTACATTCTGTAGTAGTACATTCTGTAGTTGTACATTCTGTAGTGGTACATTCTGTAGTGGTACATTCTGTAGTTGTACATTCTGTAGTGGTACATTCTGTAGTTGTACATTCTGTAGTTGTCTATTCTGTAGTTGTACATTCTGTAGTGGTACATTCTGTAGTTGTACATTCTGTAGTGGTTCATTCTGTAGTGGTACGATCTGTAGTTGTACATTCTGTAGTGGTACATTCTGTAGTTGTACATTCTGTAGTTGTACAATCTGTAGTTGTACATTCTGTAGTTGTACATTCTGTAGTTGTACATTCTGTAGTGGTACATTCTGTAGTGGTACATTCTGTAGTTGTACATTCTGTAGTGGTACATTCTGTAGTTGTACATTCTGTAGTTGTACATTCTGTAGTTGTACATTCTGTAGTGGTACATTCTGTAGTGGTACATTCTGTAGTTGTACATTCTGTAGTTGTACATTCTGTAGTTTTACATTCTGTAGTTGTACATTCTGTAGTGGTACATTCTGTAGTTGTACCTTCTGTAGTGGTACATTCTGTAGTGGTACATTCTGTAGTGGTACATTCTGTAGTTGTACATTCTGTAGTGGTACACTCTGTAGTGGTACATTCTGTAGTTGTACATTCTGTAGTTGTACATTCTGTAGTTGTACATTCTGTAGTGGTACATTCTGTAGTGGTACATTCTGTAGTAGTACATTCTGTAGTTGTACATTCTGTAGTTGTACATTCTGTAGTTGTACATTCTGTAGTGGTACATTCTGTAGTTGTACCTTCTGTAGTGGTACATTCTGTAGTGGTACATTCTGTAGTGGTACATTCTGTAGTTGTACATTCTGTAGTGGTACACTCTGTAGTGGTACATTCTGTAGTGGTACATTCTGTAGTGGTACATTCTGTAGTGGTACATTCTGTAGTGGTACATTCTGTAGTGGTACATTCTGTAGTGGTACATTCTGTAGTGGTACATTCTGTAGTGGTACATTCTGTAGTGGTACATTTTGTAGTGGTACATTCTGTAGTGGTACAATCTGTAGTTGTACATTCTGTAGTTGTACATTTTGTAGTGGTACATTCTGTAGTGGTACAATCTGTAGTTGTACATTCTGTAGTGGTACATTCTGTAGTGGTACATTCTGTAGTGGTACATTCTGTAGTTGTACATTCTGTAGTTGTACATTCTGTAGTGGTACATTCTGTAGTGGTACATTCTGTAGTGGTACATTCTGTAGTGGTACATTCTGTAGTGGTACATTCTGTAGTTGTACATTCTGTAGTGGTACATTCTGTAGTGGTACATTCTGTAGTGGTACATTCTGTAGTGGTACATTCTGTAGTGGTACATTCTGTAGTGGTACATTCTGTAGTTGTACATTCTGTAGTGGTACATTCTGTAGTGGTACATTCTGTAGTTGTACATTCTGTAGTGGTACATTCTGTAGTGGTACATTCTGTAGTTGTACATTCTGTAGTGATACATTCTGTAGTGGTACATTCTGTAGTGGTACATTCTTCAGTGGTACATTCTGTAGTGGTACATTCTGTAGTAGTACATTCTGTAGTTGTTATAGCCACGTGAATATTATAACCACGTGATAATTTGTAAAAAAAAATTTTTTAATCAAAATCAAACTGTCGACTTAGGGGTCGTTTACGTCACTAAATTTTCAACTAACTGAGACCCCTTCCGTCTCCTCGTCACAACATCGTGACACTTTAGTAACAATTTACGTATGAGTTGTCAATAAACCACAAATATCTCTCTGCCACCCTCCCTATCCCTAAAGCGTGATGTAATTTATAGACCCCTTTTTTCTATTACGGAGCTTTAAAAGTTAGTTTATAACGGCTAATTTTGAAGCAAAACATAAAGGTATCCTTTTAAGCATGAAATCAAGTAGTTTTGATTATTGCCCCTGCTAAAAAAAACCTTTAAATATTGATTTATTAATACAGGGTCGTTAACGACCCGTTTCGGTGAGAAAGAGCTAATTTATTCTAGCTAGTTAATTTATACGTGTTAAAAAATTTTATGATTAAAAAAAAATTTTAATCATAAGAGTTTTTATTTTATCTCAGGACAAAAATTTACATATAAGGAATTAAACTGCAAAAAATTAGAAAAAAATTTATTTTACTTTTTTATATATCTTTGCCAAGATCTTTGCATGTTTTTGACCTAAAATTTGACCTATGCATGTTTTTACCCAAAAATTATTTTTAAAAATAAATAAAAACTAAATTTTTTTTAATTTATTGCCTTTATTGTATTTGAAGTAAAAAAATCAATCTAAATAATGATAAATACGAAAAACATTTTTATAGTAGTCATACCACCACTTTTTTTTGAAAAACAAGATTGATAATAGTACTTAAAGTTTCGTGCCGTACACGGCAATCATTAGCTATTAAATACATAAAAAAAAAACCGTAGGAAAAAACCGTTTAAAAACAAAATCTTTCACAAATGAATTAAAAGACATGGTAGAACGTCTTCTGACGTAATAAAAGATGCAACAATTTAGATATTTAAAAACAAAAATGGCTAACAAATGGAGAAAATCAAAAAATATTTTTAAAAAAATTTTTAAAAGTAACGATTTTCTTATTTCCAACCAATGTAATATGAAAATAGTTAACTATCTCGACGTAACATTTGATCTCAATAACAATTCTTTTCAACCATACCGTAAATGCGACAATGAGTTGAATTATGTTCACTCTGATTCAAACCACCCACCTAATATTATCAAAAGACTCGTACTGTTGAATTGAGATTATCTGCCACGTCAGTAAATGAATCTGTTTTTTATAATACTATCCCATCTTACGAAGAAGCTATGAAAAAGTGAAGTTACAATTGTAAGCTCAAATATCAAACTTAAGTAACCTTGGCTAAAAACAAAAACCGAAAGCGAAAAGTCATATGGTTTAATCCTCTATTTAGTTGGAATGTGGAGGAAAAAAAAAAGGCTGTTGTTTACTTGCATTAATTGACCTGCACTTTCCAGTAAACCATAAATATCACAAAATATTAAATAGAAATGCAATCAAAGTTAGTTATTATTTTTTTTTTTATCCATTTATTTAACCATAAAATTAAAAATTACAAATTTAATTATAATTTACAAAGTTAGGTTCGGTGTCACTCATAGTTAAAAACTAGTCAATGGAGTGACACCTTAATAAAATCAACAAATAAAATAAACAAAAAATATTAAAACAAGGAAATAATAAAGAAAGTAAACTACATTAATACAAGTAATAAAAAAAGAAGTAATAGGAACAACAGTATTAAAAAGGTTGGAATCAGAACAAAAATATAAAGGAGTAAGGTTAAAAAAAAAAGAGAAAATGAACGGATGAGACAAGATGAGTGAGAAAAAAATGTAAGAGAAAACAAAAATTTTCATTACATAAGTTCAGAAGGATAGAGTGAGACAAAAATTTTTTGCTTAAAAATATAAAAAACCAAAATAAAGGCAAACTTAAATAAAAAAAAAGTATATACATACGCTACTATATACAATATTAAAGCCTTTATTACGCCTTAATATACATTAACTAAACAAAAGTACAAAAAAAGTAAATATCAATAAAACAAAAGTAAAGGTATAGAAAAAGCAACAACAACTAAATTGACAGATAAAAATGCAAAAAAATACACTCAACAATTTTTATATGCATAAATACACGACTTATAAACTATGTACAAAATTAATTAAAATTGTTTTTTTTTCTTTCTTTTCCATAAAATATTGGTGGCAGCAAAAATTATTTTCCATTTTCGGAGACTATTTTCTTATAACTTCGTTTTTATTTTTTTCAGTTTTTTTTCTTGTTTATTATTTTTATTTATTTAAATCCTTTATTCTTGTTTATGCACTTATTTTTTGAACTTTTATTACCAAAATGTTTTTTGATTTACTTTTTCTTCATAAAACTTTTTTTTTTAACTTTTCACCGTTAAACAAACACTTCTTTTATTTTGCGATGTCATTGCAAGGATGCTATGATTATATATGACCGTCGTAGTTATAACTGTATGCAAAACGTAAAGTATATAATTAGTTCACATGACCACAAGATTTTACACAGTAATACATATGTGAATGCAAGAACTTGTAACTGCATTACAAAGACTGCTTGCCTATTAAACAATCAGTGTTTATTAAGTAATATTGTTTATCAAGCTACTGTGATTGATAAAAATCCTAATCCTAAAGAAAAAGAAAAAATATATTTTTGTATCAGCGAGACACCATTCAAACTTAGATATGTAAATCATTTAAAGTCTTATAATACTGTGAAATACAGAATTGATACCGAACTTTCTATGGAGGTTTGGAGTTTAAAAGAAAAAAACATAAAGCACACAATAAAGTGGAAAGTTATAAAACGCTGTAAATTTATTTAAACAACATCAAAAGTTTGTAAACTCTAAGCCTTTATGAAAAATTTATAATTTTATATCACCAAGAAAACAACCTGCTCAATAAAAAAGACGAAATAATATCTGTGTCGACATTCTAACAAATTTATACTGTCCTCTTTTGATAACAAAGACTAAATTGTTACATCTTTTATTATGTCAGAAAACGTTCTACCGTAATTTTTAATTCGTTTGTGAAAGGTTTTGTTTTTAAACGGTTTTTTCAAACGGTTTTTTTTACGTATTTAATAGCTGATGATTGTTGTGTATGGCACGAAACTTTAAGTACTATTAACAATGTTGTTTTTCATTTAAACAAAATTTAAACATTTATTGCTTTATTATAGTAACTATTTTACTATTACAGCACTGTTTTACGTTCAAGAGTTTTTGTATTATTTTAATTTTGCAATAGTTTAATAAATAATTAAAACACACTTAAATTTTGTTTGAGTTTGTATCAATTAATCAATTATGATTAGGTCAGGTCACACTGCTACCGGTAACATGTAATCCAGTAAAACCTGTTTCATAGCATCTCTTGTGCCACGGTAAAGGCAACTTTACTGAAGGAAAACTGATATTAACCCTCTTATTTAGTTCTGGGTAAAGGTAGGAGGACCTCATGTACTTTGGATTATAATCTTCCTAAATCACAAATAAAATGCTTAGTCCTGATCTTCAAAACGGATAAATAAAATAAATTACTGTAAAAACACGTTAAAAAACCTTAATAAAAAAAAATGTCAATTGCATTCAGTGAATGTCAATAGTTAGAAGCAAAAGTTTAATGTTTTGTGTGATTATGAAATTATTCCTTCGTGGTTTAACAAAATTTGTGTTAAATTATATTTAATTTATCTTATAGATCAAACTCTGAATTAATAATATAAAAGCGTCTGAGAAAAATTGCAGTTTTAATAGCGAGTGGCTATAAGATTCTAGATTTTTAAATTGGATATCTGCAGACATTTGTATTGAGTGCAATATGTAGACTTTGCATGTCTAGTTTTAGTTTAAGTGACATAGGAGTCGGAGCAGTATAAAATTATGAGTTGGGTAAGAAACATCTGAGAAAGGCAGAAGAAGCTAAAAGCATTGGTATCTTTTTTGACAAAGTGCTTCTTCCAATAGAAACATGTTATTCATTTGAAATCTATTGAATTATACATTGTTTCAGTCTGCAATCTTAATGCTAAATACTGTGGACTTTAAAGATTGTTGTGTCCCACTATTCACTTAGATTATGTATTGATTACAAATAAGTAATGTTTACAAATAGCAAAATTGTATAAGGTTTTTCAATTAGTATAGCAAAATGTGATTTTCTAATAATTTTTGGAATGTATTCTTTTTTTTAAAATACATTATCTAAGGTAGTTCAGCTCTCCCTATTTTCTCTTGTCTCCAATGATGAGTCCATGAATCGTATACTTCAAGAGGAATATACAATATTCTATTTCGTTATTGGAAGAGGTCCTCAAGTGTTGTTAAAACTCGTTATTTGGATTTTTTTTAAAACTATCTAATGCTGAAAATTTAACCACAGAGTTAAATGAAGCATTAAAGGAACTGGCAACGAAAAACTTCCTTCTCTATGGATGGACTAAGTATCAACTGAAAAGTAAATATCTTCAAAACGGCCATAGTTTTAGCTCTGAGTTACTATCATTACTTTATATTGGAAGTTGTGGGTTGCATGTGATCCATGGTGCATTTGCTTCTGGTGTTGAGTTGATATTATAGAACTTTAAAAAGATCCTAAAGGCAATGTTGCAAATCTTTCATGATTCGCCAGCTAGATGGAACATTTATGTAAAAGAAAACTACTGTGAAGAGTTTCCATTGAGCTAATGGTGTTATAAAAACTTTTTCTATGTTAAAAAGTCTTGAACTATGATGCCCTCAGCTCTCTACTTCCCATTATTAAGCTCACCATCAACTGATACATAAAATTTTAACAGATCTATCATTTATTTATTTTTTACTTTTTTTATATTCTGTCCAACATGCTGGATTGAGGATGAAGCAGTTGCTAATAGAGCCAATAATATTTTGGGGAAATGTTGTTAAGGTTCTTTTATACTGAGAAATTCTTAGCAAAAGCCAAATGCCTAAATGTAAATCGTATGATATACTAATTAGTCATTATAAGGACAACATTCTAATGGCAAAGTTAGAATTTTTCAGGGATATAGCACAGCTTTTGAAAGATTATATGGTAATATTACAAACTGATTCTCCAATTGTTCCTTTCCTCAATGATGCCTTGGAAAGGATGCTTCAAAAAGATTTGTGCATCTTTATAAAAGAAGATATATTAAGTTATACAAGCACAACACACAGACTTATCAAGCTGGGTGTCTCAAAAAAAATAAAATCAATTGCCAGCTGATCAGGTAAACCTTGGAACAGCAGTCAAGTTTATTTTACGCTGATGTGACAAAAACTGCAAAACACAAGTTTAAAGAAGATTTACTATGCTTGTTATAATTATTGAAAAACTTCAAGAAAGAAGTTCTTTGAAATATATGTTAGTGCAAAATGTGCTGCATTTTATCCCCAAATAATATGGTTAATAACAAAGAAATTGAGTTCGCTTGTTTCGATCAGCTAGTTGATATTTAAATAAAAATAAAGAGGAAAATATTACTACTACAAAAGCAGAAAAAATTAAGCTTATCACTGAAGAAATTATTGATGTAAAAAAAAAAGAAAGTTATTTAATCGTGTATCCTTACCCTACACAAAGAAATGGAACGATTTAGAATTCAGGCAGAAGAATCTGATTCCATGGAATTATTAGTTAAAGGCAATTCTTTCAGGCAAAAGTAAAAGAAAAGCAAACCCTTATTAAACGTCTGGATAATGCTATTGATAAATTAGAAACAGATTTAAAAAAGAATTACTTTTACTATTATTTGTTCTTATAATTTGTTTTGTTTAATATTTTAAGTTGAAAGTGGTTTTTTAAGTCATTTCATATCTTGGAAGAAGGTTTTATTTCAGTAAAGTAGTTTGATTTTTTTTAAATATTTCATTTTGTTCAACATTTAACTTCTTTACTTTAACCATTTATACAAAAGATTCATATCAATAATTCTTGCACCAAAAAAAGTTATAAACACACACACACACACACACACACACACACACATACACACACAAACACAAACACACACACACACACACATATATATATATATATATATATATATATATATATATATATATATATATATATATATATATATATATATATATTTATATACATACATTTTTATATATTTATACATACATACATATATATATATATATATATATATATATATATATATATATATATATATATATATATATATATATATATACATACATACATAAAGTTTTCATATACATACATAAAGTTTATATATATACATACATATATATATACATACATTTTTTTTCTAAACCATATAAACCTTGGACTCGAAAAAAATTAAAAAAAACTGCTTGTTTTATCATTAACTACCCAGCTAGCACATAGACTTTAGTCCAACGTTGGATCGACGGCGAAAAATTCGTTGGCCGATGGTTGGAAACCGACGTCGAGCTAACGTGGATTTAATAGTCGGTGCGACGTCGCAACCAACCGTTGCGCTAACGTTGGCCCGACGTCAAATTCCGACGTTGGGCGAGCGTGACATTCTGACGTTGGTCCGACGTAATATTTAAATAATAATAGGTTTAAATTTGTTTTCAAAGACTTTGTTTTTTGATTCAAAAGGTGTGCTTATCTTTTGAATCAAAACAATGTTTTTGCAAACAACTTAAAACCATTTCTTCGACTAAAGTGCAACGTAAGTAAAGTGCATTTCTTTAAAAAAGGCGCAACTGTTTCTTAAAATAAAGACCAACCATTTATATAAATAAAGTCCAACCATTTTTTTATATAATGTGCAACCATTTCTTTAAATAGTGCAACTATTTTAAAAAGTGCAACTATTTCTTTGTAATGTTCATTAAAATGCAATGTTTGATGATAAATCAACTTTAATTTAACAATTACATCGAGAAAATCGAAACTTGTTGTAATAACTATTATAACTATGTTAAAAAATTCCTACAAAATATATTCAAACATATTAATGTTCTTCTCAACTGCTAAGCATCCTTACGAATTTTGAATCTTCACTTCGCTTGAGAGCAGCTATAACGTTCGAAAGCTCCTCTTTATATAATTTGATAGAAATCTTTGAATTTGCATCTTTGGCTTGACGAACTTTACACATTGTCATAACTGCTGCTAAAACTATAAGAATTATAACTCAGACATTTGTGTGTGTATATATATATATATATATATATATATATATATATATATATATATATATATATATATATATATATATATATATATATATATATATTTATATACATATATATAAAAATTCATCCAGGGGCCATGTAAAACAAGGTGGATGGCGCTCATTTTGAAAAATTGCTAAATGAAGAGTTTGGATGGAAGAAGGAAAGTTTATCAGCAGTGAATATGGTTAGTGGATTAGCAGAGCAAATAACATGTAGTGAAGTGAAATTAGCTATTCAGAAGACTCAGTTAAGCTCTGCTGGTCCTTCTGGAATTTTGGCAGAAATATTAAAAGCTTTTGGGGATATTGGTGTTCAGTAGGTGCCAGACCGTTGCAATGCAATTGTATATGTAGGTAAAATGTCAAATGATTGAAAGAAAAGTTGTATAAATATTCAAACATATATATATATATATATATATATATATATATATATATATATATATATATATATATATATATATATATATATATATATATATATGTATATATATATATATATATATATATATATATATAAATAAAAAATTTGTATCAAAAAATCAACAAACATATGTACTAAATACAAATAAAATGCACATAAATAAAAACATAATAATATAACTTTGCTACTATTAGTACTAAAGCTTTAAGGTTAGGTCGGGTTATCCTTATGTCAAGTCAGATTATCCTGCTACTGGTAACATGTAATTCAGTTTCATCATATCATTAAATAATAAATTACTTAAAGATTTTTAACGTTAAAAAACTTTAAGAAATTGAATCTTTATAATTAACTACAAATAGTTTTACTGTATTACATGTTACCAGTAGCAGGATAACCTGACTAGACTTACTTGTTTAACTTATAAACCTTTTTAAAACAATTAAACAAAAATGAAAATAAAGTACCTGTTTCTCTCTAACAAACTGGATTCTAACAAATAAGATTTCTTTTCAATGCCACTTCTTTGCTTGATTCAATCTTTTTTGATTGTTTTTATACCACTTTTTCTCGTGGTTCAACCTTTCTGATTTCTTTAACAACCACTTTTTCTCGTAGTTCAACTTTTCTGATTTCTTTAACAACCACTTTTTTTCGTGATTCAATTTTTGTTGATTCTTTTAATACCTCTTCTTCTCGTGGTTCAACCTTTCCGAGAAATATAACAACCACTTCTTCTCGTGATTCAATCTGTTTATGTTTTACTTTACAACTTCTTTGCATAAATTAAATGACCAACAGCTAACTAAAAACGGAGTTTGATACAAATTTTAACCAAATTGTTTTGGTAAATTTGTATAAAAATGTTTGATAATGATGCTTTAAGTTAAAGTTTAACAATGTAATTATTAACCAGATACAGACGACAGCTGTTTAAGTAAATCCTGATTTTAAAGAAATATTAAAAACTACGTATTTAACGATATACAAAATTTAGCATGTTTGTTATTATATTTTTATAACTACTCTAAATTATTATCAACAATAAAATCAAAATCAAAAATACAATCAATAAAATTCTCTAATAAAAAGTCGTGTTTGAAAAGCTTTTAAGAATGGATGAAAACTATTATCATTAAAACCTGGAACACACTGAACTTATTTCAAAATTCAGTCGTATTCCGACGTTGGCACGACTTTGGTTCAACTCCAGCTAGCACACATACGTTGTTTAAACATTAGAACAATATCGCACGTTCCGTTCGCCCAACATCGGCTGCCAACGTTGTTTTTATATTATTATGGTTAAAAATACGATGTCGCCAACAACTAAAAACCAATGTTGTTCTATCAACATTGGTTTTTAGTTGTTGGCGACATCGTATTTAAAGTCGGAAAATGGTTATATTTTCTACGTTGATTTAACGTTTTATTTTATACGTCAGCCCAACGTTGTATTTTAAGTAGGCACAACGTTGTATTTACGTTAATTCAACGTTGAACTTTAATTGGCAAAACGTTGTATACAATATAATTCGCAATTAAATTTTTACTAGATTCTATGTTTTTGTATATATACAATATATATTATATATATATAATATATATATATATATATATATATATATATATTTATATATACATAAACATATATTACCATATATAGGCAATATATACATAAATAGGGTTAAATGCTTGATCATCGAAACAAAAATCAGGTTTGTGTTGATTGTGACTTGATATTTTAAAAATCACGGAAGATTTTATTTAAGTTATATAATTTTGCAATAGCAATTTTTGGTCGCATACATTGTATCAACGTTGGGTTTAATTCATAAAAACAATCAATCATTTGCAATGTATTTACATATATGGGATCAATATTGATTTATATACATCGAATCAACATCGAAATAAATACATTAGATCAACGTTGGGTTTAGATCGTAAAAACAATCAACTTTTTGCGATGTTTTTACTTACATTGGAAAAACGTTGATTTATATACATTGAATCAATGTCGAGGTGTATACATTGGATCAACGTTGGGTTTAGATTGTAAAAACAATCAATTTTTTGCAATGTTTTTACATACATTGAAAAAACGTTGATTTATATACATTGAATCAACGTCGAAATATATACATTGGATCAACATTGAGTTTAGATCGTAAAAGCAATCAACTTTTCGCGATGCTTTTATAAACATTGGACCAATGTAAATTTGCCAGATGTTTTTAGTTCCGTCGGTAATAATTTTATCATTAACCAAATGACATCAGATCAACGTTGGTTTTGCATTGGAAAAAAGAGCCGACTTCGCGATAATTTTACATACGTTGGCCCAATCTAAGTGTGCTAGATGGGACGTTATCACTTAGTTAAAAAAATTGAACAACGCTTCTGACGTTGTGCCAACGTTAGCTAAACGTATGTGTGTTAGCTGGGATATATTATATGGCCTAACGTTGGCCTAACGTCGGATTTCGATGTTGGACAAACGTCAAATTCTGACGTTGGCTCAACATAATATTTTAATAATGAAAGTTTTAAATTGTTTGCAAAAACATTGTTTTAGATTTATAAGGTGAGTGCACTTTTTGAACCAAAAACAAAGTTTTTGCATACAAACTAAAACTATTTCTTCAACTAAAGTGCAACTACTTCTTCAACTAAAGTGCAACAATTTCTTTAAATAAAACGCAACTATTTCTTTGTAATGTCCATTAAAATGCACAAATCAGTTTGAATAAAACTTAAGGCTGATAAACACAAGTAATACATTGATGCTAATTTATGAACCAACTTTAATTACACAGAAAACTAAAATTTGTTGTAATAATTATTATACTTGTGTTAAAATATTCATTCAAACTATACATATATTCAGGTATAATAATGTTCTTTACTGCTTCCCTACGAATCTTGCATCTTTACATCGTTTGAAAGCAACTAAAATGTTCAAATTACACAATTTGATAATATATTGATATTATAAGTATAATTGTGAGAGTGTATATATATACAGTGTATATACAAATATATATATATATATATATATATATATATATATATATATATATATATATATATATATATATATATATATATATATATATATATATATATATATATATATATATGTATATATATATATATATATATATATATATATATATATATATATATATATATATATATATATATATATATATATATATATATATATATATACAGTGGTGGCTCAAAAAACTGGGTGATAGTTGTGTTTCTGGCGGTTTTTATTTGTTGATTTTATATTTTTACACCAAAATTTGTTTATTTTACTATTCAACACTTATTATATATTCTATTTACAAGTAAGTTATTATTATTTTACAACTTTTTTATCATATTTAGGTAAATTTTGCAATTTTTTAAAAATAATTGGTGTTTTTAAGGTATGTGCAAAGAGAAAGATATTTCTTCCACAAAACTAGGGCTTATTCAAGGATATTTGTCGTGTGGAAATCATTCCAACAGGCAAATTGCCAAGTGTGTGAATGTTCCAGAGCAACAGTCGATAGGATTAAAAGAAAACTGGACAATAATCAATCACTAAAATTGAATAAAAGAAAAAATTGTGGACGAAATCGAATTACAACGCCTCGCACCGAAAGAAAAATAAGGGATATTGTGATAGAAAATAGGAGAAAATCGTAAAAAGTGCTTATAACAATATCGCTTGCAACACTTCGGAGAAGAATGGCGGAGCAGGGGTTTAAGGCCTGTAGACCAGCCAATAAACCAAGGCTCACCCAGGCAATGAAGGATAAACGTCTCCAATGGGCTAAAAATCATCGCCATTACCACTGATGATTGGGAAAGAGTAAGTACTCAGTTTCTCTTCATAAATACATTAAAATTTAAACGAATACCATATTAAAAAAAAAGAATATAAGTATTTCATCAAAAATATTAACCAAATTTTGAAAATTTTAGGTTTGCTTCTAAGATAAATCCACATTGGAAATTCTAATGGATAAAACTAATTTCGTCCGAAGAAGGACAGGTGAAATGTTCAATGAAGATTGTCTTGTGGAGAAAATGAAGCACCCGCTAAAAATTATGGTCTGGTCAGTCATTAGTAGCCAGGGTACTGGAAGGTTATACATTGTAAAAAATACAATGCGGCAGGACCAGTACATCCAAGTCTTGAAGGAAAGAATGATTCCTCAAGCGATGGAGTGGTATCCGAATGGGAACTTTACCTTCCAGCAGGACTCTGCTCCATGCCATAAGGCAAAAACTGTAACAAAGTTTTTAGAGGTTGAAAAAATCCATGTTTTACCCTGGCCAGGAAACTCGCCCGACCTAAATCCCATAGAAAATTTATGGGAATTGTTAAAGAGGGATATAAGTAAAAATTTTATAGCAAATAAAAGAGATTTGATTGAAAAATTAATAAATTTTTGGCACCACAGCGAGGAAATAAAAATAAATTGTCAAAACATCATCA